TTTTTCGTCGCGCTGTGATGACGTCAAATGTGCGCTTTCGTCGATCGCGCTTTTGTGGACCGCGGTTTTGACGGGTCACGAAAAGAAAAAGAATGAATTCAGTGACTATATGGGAGCTGCCAGGGAAGCAAGGTCATAGCGATAACTGAGTGATCACTTTTTTTCACTTACTCCTTAAAATTCTTTATAAAGTATATTGTTATATTGCACAGAAAAAAACAGTATCATATGCTTAAAAGAGAAACTCAGCAATATTTTGAGTGGTATGGATACTTCAATTTAAGTAAAGAAAATACCAAAAGAAAATAAGCAAAGAAATGGAAGTGTAAGCAAATGAAAATAGTCCAAGCTGACTAAAAAAATACAGGAGAAAAAATATACTTTAAAAATGATGAAGCAATAAGTGATTATTGCAACTTGCAATTAGTTGAAAGGAAAAAGATGTATAACAGATCTACCTTCTCCTGGAGAACAAATATTTGTTGGACAAAGAGTTCTGATTAATATACTTGCTCCAAATCAATCCAATATGTTACTAGCCTAGTATTTATATATTGAAAGTTCAAAAAGCATTAAGAGGAACATGCATAAATATAAATACTGCTGCTTCCCTCAAATTGCTGCTACATTAAATCAAAGGAAATCTTATCCGCTTATTAATACTTTGATTTATCTATCTCTGTGACAGAGGACCAAAATTTAACCACTAAAACTGAAGAAGTTTGAAAACGATCAGGTTAACAAAGCCTGACAATATTGTGCTTCTTTCAGCATAGAGATACAGAATGACAGTTGGCTTACCTGAACGGTTGTTCTCTGTGTGCTGGGGGAGAGTCCAAGCATGGGTTAAATTCAGTCTATTCACCCAAGGACTGAGTTAATTTTCTTAGCCACGCCTCCTCTCCTCATTGAGGATGAGTTCAAAAATGAAAGCGTTGGTTTGTAACGGACATGTGCACGATGTGTCTTCCAGTTATGTGTCTTTGCTCCACACCGCTGAAGCAATCCCAAAGAGAGGAAGTAAACCCCAGGGCAGGTTGGACTCTCCCACAGCGGCTAGAGAACGACCGTTCAGGTAAACCAACGGTCATTCTCCTGTGCGCTGCTTGGAGAGTCCAAGCATGGGACATACCCAAGCTATGCAGTCCCAGGGAGGGAAACAGAAACATCCAAGATGCGTGGAGTCGGTACAACTTGTTGTAACACCCTCCTCCCAAAGGCGGTCTCGGCTGCGGCGTAGGAGTCAATGCGATAGCGTTTAATGAATAAGGTTGGAGAAGTCCATGTGGCTGCCCGACATATTTCCTCCACGGGGGCCTGCGTCACCCATTCGTCCATGTTGCCAGCACTCCTTGTAGAGTATGTCGTTACCCTAGGTGGTACTGCTTTGCCCTGTTGCAGGTAGGCCAACTTAATACAAGCCCTCAGCCAGCAACTGATTGTAGAAGGAGAAACTTTCCATCCCATTGAGCCTGGCTGAAAGGAGACGAAAAGTGATTCGGATCGGCGAAAACCCTCCGTCCTTTTGATGTACCTGCGGACCATCCGCCGAACGTCTAGCTTGTGCCAGGTGTGCTCTTTGGGATGCTGAGGATGAGGCAGAAGTTAGGAAGCACTACTTCTTGAGTCCTGTGAAACAGAGAGTTTACTTTCGGCAGAAAGGCTGGATCTAACCGGAGAACGATACGGTCAGCATGAAATATACACAAGTCCTCACAAACCAAGATAGCTGCCAGCTCTGACACCCTCCTGGCCGATGTAATGGCTATGAGGAAAACAGTTTTCAAAGTCAGGTGCTGAAGACCAATGGACCATATCGGCTCAAATGGAGTCTGGGTGAGAGCTCTGAAAACAAGGGGAAGGTCCCATGTGGGAAACCTATGAACAGAAGGTGGATGTAATTTGGAAGCACGTTTTAGGAAGCTTTTCACCTGAGGATGCTGCTTCAAGGACACTGATGAATGTCTAGTTAGGATGGTGGACAGGGTAGCAATTTGACGGTGAAGGGTGTTGGGTGCCAAACCCTTGTCCAACCCCTCCTGCAAAAATTCAAGCAGTTGTGGTACTGTAGCTGATCGGCACCAGGAATCGAAGGCTGCCCATGTGGCGTCATAAATGCGAGTCGTGGAAGGACGACGCGATGCCTATATGGTATGAATGACTTTGTCAGACAGGTTGTCTTTCCTCAGGAGTTCACCCTCAAGGACCAGACGGACAACTGGAGCCAACTGGGATTCGGATGTACTATGGCCACCTGGCTGAGGGTATCCTGAGGTATCCTCCATGGCCTGCGAGTGGAGAGACTGACAAGGTCTACGTACCAGGATCTCCTGGGCCAATGAGGTGCGATGAGAAGAACCTCTGCTCCTTCTGCCAGAATCTTCTGGATCACCTGTGGAATGAGTGGCAGCGGCGGGAAGGCATACAAGAAGCCTCTCGGCCAACCGCAGCCCAAAGCATCAGTCCCCTCTGCTTGCGGAGTGGCATACCTTGAGAAGAACCTTGGCAGTTGACAGTTGGCCAGACTGGCAAACAGATCGATCACCGGAAGCCCGAACCTGAGCGTGATCTGGTGGAAGGTGGTCGGATGAAGACGCCATTCCGTGTTGTCGATGGTCGTCCGGCTCAGCCAGTCCACCCTCACATTGTCCGCTCCCGAGATGTGGTCCGCTTGTAGGGAGGCCAAATGATGTTCGGCCCACCTCCCCAGCATCTCTGCTTCTGCCATGAGGGTCCTGGACCTGGTGCCCCCCTGGCGGTTTATGTGGGCCTTCGTTGCTATGTGGTCTGTAAGTAACAACACATGGTGCCAATGTCCCTCTGAAAATGGCGCAGGGCTAGCCTGGCCGCCCTTAGCTCCAAGAGGTTGATGGTCTGTGTCACCTCTCTCTGCGACCACTTGCCTTGCGTCACCTGTTCCTGAAAGTGGGCCCCCCATCCTTGGAGGCTCACGTCGGTCATGACTACCAGCCATTCTGGTTCTCTGAAGAGGCAACCCTTCATCACTGCCTGTGATTCCCACCACCGAAGGGACTCCTTTACCTTCGGGGGAGCTTGACACATCTGGGAGAGTTGCTGGCCTTTGCCCTCTGGATGGGAAGAAGGAACCATTGCAGTTCGTGGGCGTGTAGACGTGCCCATGGAACTATGTTTATGCAAGAAATCATGAGTCCCAGAAGTTGACAGTGACATGATGGACACCAGCTGGTATACCCTCGCAGCCCGAGCACGGGTTGTGAAATTGCGTCTGTGGTCTGGAGACAGGAACACTCTGCAACACTTCAAGTCTATCAGTGCACCTAGATGCAATATGCGGGTGGATATCTGAATCTTTTCCCGGTTCACTGAGAACCCGTGATGTTGTAGAATAGAGATGGTATGTTGGACATCTCTGACGGCTTGGTCAGAGGACGTTGATTGGATCAAGATGTCATCGAGGTAACAGAGTAGTCGTATTGGACAGGAATGTAG